TGCAAAACAAAGCCAAATCCATAAAACAAAGAGGATCAACGGAACACCAGTAAAGTTAAACACACACTCGTTCCACAAGAACGAATCTGTCAAGCAAAATAATCGACAACCGATGCCTGAATCTTGTATCTACGTTAGTGATGAGCACATGCCGGAAATTCCTTCTCCAATAACTACGGCGTTGCTAATTGGCGATGTGCACCTAGATTCGGCTTCTTTTACATCATCGTCGAACAGAGACAACTAAAACAGGTTGAATAGATATAGATCTAACATTTGGAAGAACGAACCTTCGTGGTTCAGTAAGATGCCGAAGCTCATGCAATCACTATTAAAACTGGAGGCAGATAATCTGTTCACGGACAGAGCAGAGGGGTATCGAATCCCCAAAAGCATATTTATTAAACTCTCATAACTAGATTGGGAGAGGATAGCTCCCAAATCTAGAACGAGATTGAGAAGATTCAAACTCGCAAATGTAAAACTAAACCAGGAGAAGAAAGAAGAAGAAAAATACAATAAAACACAAACACAATCGACAAAAGAGGGAGGGGAGAAGACAACGGAGAGAGAAGAGAGAGAGGGAGACAGACACTTGAGATCGAGAAGCATCAATTTAATTAGAAGTTATGAATGGGTTATTGACTGCACCCCATGTAGTTGGCTCGATTCATGTGATACGTTGGATCTCGCGAGTCTCCAATGTATCACATGCACTAGATCTACTAATTTCGGATGCAGTTAATAATTTTACCACTTTTATAGACTCATTTCATTTTTTAAGTCTTTCTTCTTTATAAGTTATTTTCTTTATTTTAACTTTAGAAATTAGCTTAGTTTTGAACCGAAATGCCAATTTTATAGTCTCTTGTGTATTAATCACCAACGATGATAATATGAAGCAAATTTGTTGTCCAATACCGCACCATGTGTCCATCCAACTCTTGTTCTTACTACATATAATTCAACTGAATAATGAGAAGTGGACTGAAAAAGTAGATTGAAATATAATGGTGAATGAGCTGGTTCAATTTTTTAGTGGGCAGGGCGGGCCTCAACCCCGATCACCTCTGGCTCACGCGACGCTCGTCGATTCCCTAGTAGCCCTGCCCTTTCTTTCTTTCTTTTCTTTGAACTTTAAAGTTGCTTTACAAAATTTATACCAAAAACCACTTATCATCCAAACGCTATATACTTTGAGCAAATACATTTTGAGTCAAAGAAGTTTGGAGAAATGACTTTACATCTCCCCAAAACTCTCTCAAAAGATGAGAGGTAAATGAACAGAATGGGAAAAAGAATTCTAATTGATACTTTATTTTTGTGCGAGGAGAAGACGGAAATAAAAATATAGATCCAGTTTTCAAAATGAATTCTTATTTGGAGATGTCAGAAGAAAAAGGGTTTGTTTATTTTGTCCAATAAAGGAGGGAAATGCGCATTTGCTCGAAACAATTTAGAAGAATTGGTTTTATGTCTTTAAGGGACTACGGTTGAATATATGGAACCGAAGGTAACTCGATTGATAAGAGAAGGAAAATGAAAGAAAGAAAAATTTATGATAAAATTACATTATCAACTTGCATTTTCATTTCTATCTGGCTCGAAGGAACTTGCAATTTCAAAAAAAGTGACAGGAGCAACTCAAATATTTGATCATTTCATCACGACGCTCAAAGTGGCTCTATTTTAAATTATATTCATTTCGACATATGAGATTTTAGATGTCCTTCCTTTACCAAAATGCCATATAAGACCTCTAATGTACGAACTCCGTCTATTTTTCATCATACATCCTTTAAGATTAGAAATGGTGGGACAAACGGAAAATTTGTATTTACTTTCCCATCAAAATCTCAAAAACTATGCTAATTCAAAATAGCTATAAAAACTTATATATAAATACGCGCGGCGACTTTTCGGATATTATGAAACTTTCAATAATTTAAAATTTAAAAAAAGTGAATGCGCCACAAGAACAAAAAAGTAAAAAGTAAAATCACTCCAAAAAAAAATTTGGGTTTCCAAGCTTAATAGTACTGTTTAATAGTGTTATACTCCTAGGTTAAGGTCCACATTTAAATAATGGCATTTGGGTCGGATATCTTCATAACCTGACTTCAAATTCCAAGTAAATGCCATGCATCTCTTTCGAAATGACTAGTTTGAATATCATCATGAGGTTTAGTCTTTGTCATCTTGAAGGAAATCTCGTGCGTTGGAGGTTTTACCACTGAACCCCGTATGTCAGCCGCAATAGTTGTCTTGTTCACTTTAATAATAGTCTTTGATTTGATTTAGAGTATGGATTAAGCTGAGTATTATTTCCAGGAAGTTGCTTGTCAATTCTAATAAGCCCACGTGAAAAAAATCACATGACAAATCACTTTGTGATAGGAGTTTCACTCCTGTGTTAATTTGCATCCTCGGTGTCAAAACATATAATCGGCATCTCACACCTAAAACTCATGGGTAAGACATAAAAGTGATAAGAAAGAAAGATTAAAAGAGAATGGTATTTGTTCTCTTATAATGGTGTATGAAACAATGTACATGAGAAGCATTTATATAGGCTTAGAGGAGTAAAGGAGCCTAGCATTCTTCCTATGTGGGACCAAAGAGAAAGAAGAGATGTAAAGGAAAACCTACAAAACTATACAACATGTTCTAACACCCCCCCTCAAACTCAAGGTGGATCAAATAACGAGAGTTTGGAAAGAAGAAATTTAAATCGTTGTGATGTAAGAGCCTTCGTAAAACAATCGGCAAGTTGATTCTCAGTTCCAACAAAAGGAAGTGAAATTGTGCGAGCTTGGAGATGATGACGAGTCAGATGACAATCGATCTCAATATGTTTGGTACGCTCATGAAAGACTGGATTTGCACCGATATGAATGGCACTCTTGTTGTCACAATGCAGAGGAGTAGGATCCAGAAGTGAAACTCCCATATCAGCAAGTAAGCGGCGAAGCCAAACAATCTCAACAGTAGTGTCGACCATAGCACGATACTCGGACTCTGTAGAGGAGCGTGAGACAATATGTTGTTTCTTGGAACGCCAAGAAATAAGTGAATCGCCAAGAAAAATGCAATAACCAGTGATAGATTTGCAATCAGTGACATTGGAAGCCTAATCAGCATCATAATAGGCACGCAACTTGAGAGCAGAAGAAGATGGTAGAAATAAGGAAAGCTTCGACAGTTACAAGGCCTGCAGGATCAAGCTCCCACCGGCTGGTCTCATTATGCCAAGGGCAAAGAGCCGAAGAAGTTCAAAATGCTTAACTTCGATGAGTATGATGCAGCTCGTGTCCAAAGGTCTACTTGGAGATTTATATGGTGAAAATGGCCCAATATGTCAAGAATATAATTCTGATGATCCAATCTTTTCAATGAAGTTTGACTGGGCTCACACTACAGTGGTACATTCTAAAGAAAATCAATCTTCTCGAAACTTGAGAAGGGTTGTCTGATGCTTTCCTCAAGCTATACAAATTTTACATCGACATTACTTCGTCTCGTGAAGATCCGATTCGAATGGAAACAAAGAAAACCGAGTCCTTCAAGACATATGCCACTAGGTGGAGAGCACTGGCCGCCCAAACCGCTTCTGAGCCAACGGAGAAGGAAATGATGCACTTAATCATGAAGACATTGCCCTATGCGTATCGAAGTTGGGTGTTGGGCTCGTCTACTAAATCATTTACTCAACTTGTCCCTGTGGGCAAGCGCATTGAGATCGCCATACGTGATGGATGGCCATCGGTGCAAACCGAGGCAACTAAGAGTACATTCAAGAAGGATAAGGAACCTATACACGCCGCTTCCTTGGTCCCTGTCTCAGATCCTTTTCATTCTCTTGGAAAGGAGGTTACTTGCTAAGGAACCAAAGCACGCTAACCCTAAATATTTTCCTAACTATGATCCATCTAAAATATGTGACTATCATTTGGGTGAAATAGTATATTCCGTCGATGATTGCGTCATCCTGAAGAATAAAGTTCGGAAACTGTTGGATGCGAAAATGTTCTCATTCTGCAACACCCGGCACAATCATGGAGAAAGCACCGGTCTCATCATTGAGTAAAATTGAAGGCTCAACTTCTCATCCCTTAGAATAGAGGCATCTCTAATTATTTGCACGCCCCCTACATGGGTGCTTTTCTTGCTTATGTTTTGTTTTCATTCTTAGGATTTGATTGCTTTCATTTCCCTTTTCAAGTGATGCAATTCATTTCCCTCATTCAATAACATGCCAATTCATGAAAATATTCATATCTGAAGGTAAGTTAAAGTATACCAAACTAGCTCTGTGATGAAATCTGAAATAAAAAACAAGGCAAGGTAATTCTGAAGGCTGGGCTTCTCATGTTCCTTCCAAAATTTTCGAAAACAATTTCAAAATAGCATGCAGCACATGCTTCCGATGTGCCAATAGCACAGATATCAGCCCACTTGCTTAGTAAATAAAAGTGACAAATGCTGGTGAAGTAAAGGGCTCAGGTAGACCTCAAGGGGAATATCAAACTGTGAAAAAGCAGAACCAGAAGCACTTTTTTTTAGTTGAAAAGGGCCCTTTAGTATCAACCATAAAAAAGATTCATTAATCATCATGAGTAAACCATAAATTCAGTAATAAACAGAACAGAAACATACCCAATGGTTCCACAGTGTTGTACATAAATTTGTTGGTTTTGCCATTTACATGCTCCATTTATAATCAAGGAGCTTTGGACAGACATGTGAAATACAGAAGAAAGACTGAAGTCCCCTGATGTGAGAAAGAAACATCAAGATTTTACACATTTAAGAGCGGACAGTATTTACAGACTACCTAACCACTTTTATAAGCCCAACGTTAAAAAGAAGATGGGTCTTATTTTCTTTCTTTTGATCTCCTAAGTGGGGTACCATGAAAATGATTGCAAATCTGATGGATGACTTGTGAGATTGATCAACACAGCCCATGAAACTTAAAGCAGGATTTTGAACTTGGACCATTAGTGCACCATTTGCTTCCTCAGTTGGTCATAAAACCTGCTGATGAATTCGTCAGCCTTGTGGTCCACTTGCCCATATTTCCCATCACCCTCATCATCTGATGAGAAATTAGAGACCCTCACCGAGTAGGGCGATTTGAGTGGGCTGTGCCGCTCAATCTGGATGTTGAACGTGTATTCAGGAGTCGTTGCCATGAAAACGAGCATCTCGGGGTACACGGGCTTGTCCTCCACGAAGTCTTCGATGACTTGAGGGAGCCTCATGCAGGGGAAGCGATGGCTCTTGTTCTTGGCTGAGTGGACGATGACTGGGTTCGGGCTGTTGCTGCAGGAGAACTCGTACTCGTACCCATTGAGCCCGACCCGACGCATTTTCCTCGGGTGCTTGTAGTGACTGAAGCTGAGACTCCTCAGTGATTCTCTCATGAGCTTCCTGTCCCTCGCCCTGTTGATCATGTCACTGATAAAATTTCTCTTGGACATCAGCCCTTTCCTGATCATTACATAAGCGATTTTCACAATCTTCCATAGCCTTTTGGCAATGATTGAGCTCACTCTAGGTTGCAACTCCATGACCAGAATTCAAACCCAAAAGCTCTCTTTTTTTACAACAAGAAGACTGAATACTCTAAAACTAAGTCCCTCTTTATGAGAACGATGCCATAGGAATTTAGAAGAGTTGAAAGAAGAGGGAATTAAAATAAGCCAACAAAGAGATTTCTATGTGGATTTGAGAAGAACTCTAAGTGCTGGGCTTACACTAGCCAGTGCAAAGTGCGAGCAAATTTATAGGGAGGGAAAATTGAGCGTCAAGCCTGGCAATATCTTTATTAATTTTTATTGATGGATAGAAACTACAGAGACACTAATGATAATTAGCTTGTCACATTGAGTATGGAGAAGGGCAAAGGAAAGGTGGTAGCAAGGTCCTATGGAAAGCATCACTAGGATTGTATAATGGACTAAGCAATCCCCACATTTTCCTAGAACTTCATGTCCAATAAATAACGGAAGATAAAAAAAAAGATATTGTTTATAAAGAGCTATTATATGCTTGTGGGTCCAAAAGTGAATTACAAGCCCAAACAGGGAGTTGAATTATTTTAATTTTTTTTGCTCATTGAATTAGGGAGTTGAATAGTATACAACTAAATTGATGGGGGTTTGAAACAATGGGTTCGTGGGGTCCTTGGTCGGAGGGATTGAAAGTGATGTCTTCAGTTGCTCTTTTTGCCCTGAATTCGTCGATTTCAAGCATATGACAGGAAGATCTTGCGATATGAACTTCTTGACGTTACCTTGGAGAAAGTCCAGGTTCTATCCAAGAAAATACCACGGAAAGTGCCTGCAAGACAGTGACTTGAGATTGAATGCCATCAATTTTTTTTTTTTGAGAAGTTATTGACGGGGTTATCGATTGCACCCCGGGCAGTAGGTTCGGACCACATGACATATTGAATCCGGTGGGTCTCCATCGTATCACATGTACCAAGTCTATTTACTACGGGTGCAACAAATAACTTGTTCAATTTTATGGACTCAGCTCATTTCTTTATTCTTCCATCGGCTGAGTTGGTTTTTTTTTAGTATGTTTTTAGGCTCATTGGGCGGGCCAAGCCTAGCCAAGTCACCCGGACCATGTACTTGTTAAAAGAGATTAGGAAACATGTTTTATTACAAATTTTATTGTGATATTCAATATTTACAAAGAAGCTCAAAATTTCTAACATAGTACAAAAAAATAAACATAAAATTCACAGGTAATGTAATATAATGAAATGACACAAAGCGTTAAATTATTTTTTATTTGTTTTATATTTCTATTTATTTTTCGGGGATAAGTGTATTGGAAATTTTAAAACTTGTCACAAAAGTGCGATTGAGTCCTAAAACTCATAAAAAATGCAATTAAGTCATAAAATTGTCAAATTGGTACAATCGAGTCTTTCTGTTAACTCTGTTCAATTATATTAGTGAAAAATACGGACGTGACTTTTTTTAACTTTATCCTATGACGATGACGATGACGACAGACATTGTGGTGGCAAAGTGCGAGAGTGAGAGTGAGAGAGGGAGATTGGGGTCTTTGATCAGGCATGGGTGAGCATGACTTGGTGCATGCATGTGTCGTTATCCGATGGGCGAGATAGGATATGGGATTAGAGCAAGAGATTGCAGACATTCATGATGGCATAAATTGGCCAAATCCGCGGGCTTGCAATGGTAGCCAAACGAGAGGGCACCAAACATGACCAAGGACTAAAGTTCAAGTCCCCGCCCAAATCTTTATGGGTTACAAATTTTCCAATGGTCGACGATGACCTAAATGTTAGATTCGGAAAGGCCAAAAATTTCAAAAAAGTTTTAAGTGGGATAAAACTTTTTAAAAAATCCTGTACCTAATATTAAAGTCTTGAGGGCGTTCTGGCCCTTTTGGGTCCTCTTCTACCATTTTGTTTGGAAAGACTATTAGATAGATAAAGAAAATCAAGGTGCAAAAGATGAGAGGTGAAGAGAAAAATTGAGGAAAAGAATTCGGGGTAATTGTTCAGAAAGTCCTAAACATATTGTGCGGTGGCCAATTCAATCCTAAAATTTTCTATTTGATCAATTTAATCCTAAACCTGTTGACAATTTGTTGATGTAGTCACTTCAGTTAACGTGAACGTTTTTGCAATTTTTTGTTTTCAATTTTTTTTGTTTTTTTATTTTCCTCTTCCAAGGGAAATAGGGAAAAAGCAAAAAAGCAAAAAAGCAAAAAGCGAAAATGAAAAAAATGAAATAAAGAGTCAAAAAATTTTAAAAAATTGTAAAAATCATGCACGTCAGTACTGGCGAAAAGATTACATTGGCAAATCGTCAAAAGATTTATGATTAAATTGACCAAATTGAAAAATTAATGACTAAATTAACTGCCGTACAATAGATTTATGATATTTTGAATTATTTTCAAAAGAATTTTAACTCGTCTTTTTTTTTATTGTGCGAGGGAAAGCACGGAAAATGAAAATAATGCTCCAATTCCCAAAATTGGAAATATCATAAGAAAAAGGAGTTTTGCTTATTTTGTCCAACAAAGGAGGGGGAATGTCACATCCGCTCGAATGGAAATGATTTTCCTATGTTAAGCTCCGCATTCAAGTAATGACATTTTTGGTCGGTCGTCTTCACAGCCTAACTCCAATTTCCAAGAAAGTACGTGCATCTCTCTCTTTTTTCAATTGGCGACGGGATTACTCCGCTCAATGAAATCACTCTTTGTCATCTTGAAGGAAACTACGTGCGTCAGAGGTTTGAAAACTAGACTACAAGTCTCGGCCGCAATGATTGTCCTGTTTCCCGTCATTGTCTTTGATTTAATTTGGAGCATGATAAATTAAGTTGAGTATTGTTTCCTGGAAGTTTCTTGTCAACTCTAATCTGGCTTCCTTATGTTATGCCACCCTCGCATGGGAAAAAATCCCATGAGATAGATAAATTTTGGGTGACTTAGGAAAATCATTTGCAAATTTCACTCATATATTAATTTGTATCATGAGTTTCTTAAATCTATAATCAACATCTCATACCTAGATTACTAGATAAAAGGGCTACAATACCCTTCTTTAAAAAAGAGTCAAGAAGACCCTGTTAGCTCTAATAGTATATCACCAACAAAATCAATCACTTCACCTAGCATTGGTTGCCATCACCCACCGCTTGTGACCGCAGCCACCAGCACTGGCATTACCACCATTATGCCGCCTCTCTCTCTCTCTCTCTCTCTCAAGCATACATTTTTTTTTATTCAGTCCTACTCTAACTCTCAACTCACTCTCAGACTTTTACCATGCTTCTTGCAGGGTGTGGGAGTCGAAACCCACATCTGAAACTACACGTCCTTATCCCTAACCCCCCCCCCCCCCCCAAGAAGGTGGGGATTCGAACTTCCCACCTCCCCCTTCCCAAGTAAGAAGGGTAGCCATTGGGACAAACCCCAGTGGTTCTCTCAAGCATACATTGAGTGTCGCATAATCACGAAACCATCAAGTCCACCTCATGCCATCGTCCACATCACTGGGTTGTCATTCATCTTGAACTGCTGTCCGCTCACGCTGCTACAAGCCTGTCGCCACTGCCAAATCTGGATGCCATGGGCAACCTTGGGGAGCTCGATTTCATATTAAGGTTGCCATGACGGTGGTGATTTACTTGATGGGTCCGTTAGGTGACTAATTCCACACATGTTTAGACTTATCCTTTTTTATGTGTTGAAAAGGGTGTAAAACATCGACCATCATAAGAGCTCCGCTTGTTGTACGAAATATTCGATTTAGCTCATAGCTATTCATAATACCTATTGGTGCACGAGCCCATCATTGCAACCTTACTGGCGTGCTAGAGGCCAAAAAGTTTCTCTTCATAACGTAGAAAATGTCATAACATAAGTTGACAAAAGACTCATTCATGATAAAACTTGAATGTGTGACCTCATAATAGACAGTGTGATCCTTTACAATTACCAACAACAACAATGATAATAATAGTAATGTACTCTAAAGATAACACATTAATAACAACAATTATTTACTAGCTACTCAATATTTTACTTATCAATATGTGATTATGTCAAAATAATTATAATTTATATCATAGAAATGCTATTAATTTATTTGTTTGTAAGTATTATAAATTTTATAGGGATACATACTGTAATAGCTATTTCTCCAAGCATATATTGCGATATGCAGTCGACCTATAATAAACTCGTAATTTAATAGTCAATACCGCAACTACCGCAACCAAACGTGTGCTAATAAAACGACGGCGTGACAATGTGAAATGTGAAACGTAGATAGACAACTCCGTGTAATGCATTTGTGTTTACTATCAGATAAATTAATATATGTTTGGGATGAGTAAATCAAAGCTGAAGCCACGGTCAAATCTCTTACCATGTACAAGCCAGCTTTAATTAAGAACATGACACATAGTTTGCAAAAAGTAGATCTACGATTATGATGCATTTTGCATGTAATGTGCTTGTTGTGATAGTTTAATTAGCTTAGGAGCTTAACCCATGTTCTTTTTTTTTCCTTTTAATATCCTCTCTTTATGAATTTTTTAGTGGAAATGGCAACTTCACTGAAAAGTTGGGGAGACAGAGCAATGCGTGGTCATCGTCTTGATGGGGACTTCATAGCTTGTTTGAGAAACTTGTCTTTGTCATTTAAGAGTTATTACCAAAAGTCATTATCAAATTGATTTACATGGTATCTTCAGGAAAATTGGTTTAAAAAGTTTTAAACCTATTGCATTCCTGTCAATTCGATCCTAAATATGTTAATTGTGACAAATGAGTCCTAAATCTTTTCACATTTTATCAATTGAGTCTATCTAGCCAATTTTGATAGGAAGTTGCTAACGTGGATGCTAATTATGTGGCACGGCTGACGCTAACATGAGCAATTTTAATAATATTTTAATATTTTGCAAACTTTTTATTAATTTTTTCTTTTCTTTGTTTTTTTACCCCAATTGTGGCTGGGTACCTTGCCAGCCATCACCAGCCACAGGCGAGGGTTGCCAACCCT